TCTGCTTACTTTCAGGGGCCTTCCAGAGAACAAATGGCTGGTCCTTTTCCAAAGGGACAGATTTTCCTATCTGATGCTTTTGTTCTCCAGCAAGAAAAGAAAATGAAAACTGTTGTCTTCCCCCAGGATATTGAATCAGAGTAAACTGAAGCTTTGTGTATTTCTTTTGTAGTGGTTTCCTTCATATAAATATGAATAGAGTGATTACTGAATATCAGAGGTTTGAGCTAGAGGTAAGGCATCTCTTTGATATGCAGAGCGAAATGAAATGGTAAAACATCAAATGTTAGGATGTTTGAGAGAGTTTCCTACAAGACCTGTCAGGTCTTAATTTGCTTAGAGTAATGCCTTGGGCCTTCGGTGTTGTTAATAGCCTTCAGGTGAAACTATGTTGGAGGCTGTATTAATCATCAGGCGTTTTCCTTGTTTCATACAAAATTCCCTGTACCCTTATTGTTCTATCGGAATATTCTAGGTTAGCTGGGCAGGCTTAGTACTGATGCCTTAAAAGATATGTCACCTGCCCATCTTAGTAGGCACTTTCCAAATAATAGTAATAATACTTTGTGTTCTGAAACGAAATTTTCTTTCTTTCTTTCTTTTCTCTCAACTTTAATTTTAGGTTTATGGGGTTACCTGTGCAGATTGTTTTCCCTGAAGTAGGTAAATTCTACACCAGGATTTGGTGTAGAAATGACTTTTGTCACCCAGGTAGTAAGCATCATACCCAACTGGCACTTCCTCAATACTCACCCTCCTCCCACCCTCCACCTTCAAGTAAGCCAATTTTCTATTTCTTTTTTTTTATATTACGTTTTGACTTTTCACCTGGACGTGGCCACATTGAGTTTAAGGTATTCTCTGAAATAAATCTGTTCTGGAATTTTATGAGTAAGTTTTAGAATTTCAGGCCAGGTGCAGTGCCTCATGCCTATAATCTCAGCACTTTAGAAGGCTGAGACAGAAGGATTGCTTGAGCCCAGGAGTTCAAGACAGTGTTTTTATAAAAAAATAAAAATAAATTAAAAAGCCAGGTGCAGTAGTGTGTGCCTGTAGTCCCAGTTATTCAGGAGCTGAGATGGGAGGATCACTTGAGCCCAGAAGGTGGAGGCTGCAGTGAGCCATGATCATGCCACTGCACTTCAGCCTGGGTGAAAGAGCAAGATCCCTGTCTCAAAAAAAGTAAAAAGTTATAGAATTTCTACCTTGAAACAGAAGCCAAATTGGGAATCAAGAGGTGAACCACTTAAAGTCACCTGACAAATCAAAAACCAACTTAAAAATAAAATTATTTCTCTTTCTTACTTGCTGCAATGAAATCTAAAATATATGTTGCCCTGGTTGAGACTATTTGTCTTGGATCAACATCATTCTAAAAAGGGTAAATTTGACAGTGGGTTATTGTACATTTCTTCCTTTCACTTTTTCAAGTTTTTACAACTAAAAGAAATGAATAGTGTGGCAGCTGGAGTAGAAATCTCTTACTGATTAGGCCATAAAATGGGAGCTTTCAGAAACAGCTTGTTCTCCACAAAGTAAAGTAATGTAAATGTTGTCTAAACTGTTTAATGCTAGACTTGAGAACTATAGTTTTAAAGCTTCTTTTGCTATGGCTTTCTTATAATTTATAAATATTATGAATTTTCAAATGGGTTAGCACAAGACAGGTAAATCTCACGCCCTCCTCTGTGTTCCCATAGCCGCTTTTATACACATCTTGTTATAATTACTGTCTTTTTCACCCAGTAGCCTATGGGTTCTTCGAGGGCAATATTCAGGTCTTGTCTTTCTGCCTCACAGCAGAGTGCATGTTGTGTGATCAAGCCCCCAACACACTGAATTAATAAAAACAATAGATCATCCTGCCCAGCCTGTTTTAGGAAGTATTTGTGTATATTCTTCAGTAGCCTGTTTGGTCAGCTCTGTGCCCAGCATCTCTGTTCAGAGGCAAGAACAAGGGAGGGTCTGAAATTCCTTTGGCTGTTCTCATTAGCAGCTCTTTCAGTTCCATTCAGTGAACCCTCTGAGTATCTGCCCCAGTTCAGGCCTTGCTCCACATGTGGGATTCGCCAAGATGAATGAGAGGGCCTGCTTTGGGCAAAGCTCTCTGGGCCTTGAGATCTCTCTTCATCCCAAAGAATCTGCACTCTGGCAGGGGAGATGGGAAACGAAAGGACAAATATTTATGCATCAGTTGGGTTGAGGGAGCAATCAATACTTCAGGGAAGGGAGAGCAAGGAAAACAAAGAAGAGAGTTGACAGGGGAGGGGAGGGAGGTTCCAGAATGGATATGGTGGATAAGTAGCAGTCTTGACATGTGAAAATTAATACATGGTATATTTGGGGAGACAGCAAGCACATTAAGGCATAGATTCAAGTAGGGTTGGGGCTTAAGTTGTTTAAGTGAGAGGACTTTTTTTTTTCTTAATGCTTTCCACACGATTTAGTCCTTGGAGGACTCACAAAACAGAACAGGGTTGTCATCTCTTAATACTCACAGATCCTATCCCCTTAACTTTCTAGCCAAACTGAGTTTCGTCAGTCCTTAAACTCATCCTGCCCTTCCAAAATATGAGTTATTTGCTCAAGACATTTTTTTCTTTTTTTTTTTTTTTTTTTTTTTTTTTTTGAGACGGAGTTTCGCTCTTGTTACCCAGGCTGGAGTGCAATGGCGCGGTCTCGGCTCACCGCAACCTCCACCTCCTGGGTTCAGGCAATTCTCCTGCCTCAGCCTCCTGAGTAGCTGGGATTACAGGCATGCACCACCATGCCCAGCTAATTTTTTGTATTTTTAGTAGAGACGGGATTTCACCATGTTGACCAGGTTGGTCTTGATCTCTCGACCTCATGATCCACCTGCCGTATTTTTAGTAGAGACAGGTTTTCACCATGTTGACCAGGATGGTCTTGATCTCTTGACCTCGTGATCCACCCGCCTCGGCCTCCCAAAGTGCTGGGATTACAGGCTTGAGCCACTGCGCCCGGCCTCTCTGGTATATGTAAATAATGAACTGATTAAAACACTCACAGAAGGGAAGAAACAATAAGGAGGAAGAAGAAAAGTTGATGTTCATTCTAAATCCTCAGGTGTGTGATTTCAGGAGGAAAGAGGCTGCTTGTAAATAAATAAATATACACACACATATAATAATTGTCCTTCACATATATATAATAATTGTACTTTAAGGTAATATGAATACTTGCAGTGATACAGGTTAAATACCGCTAAAGTGATAAAACCAAGGGACTACAGGATCTCAGAGAAGGAAAATCACTGTTCAGTTATTAGAGATTCAGTGATTAGAGATTGAGAAGTAGCATCTGAATTGGGTCTTAAGCACAGGTAGAATTTTAGTTGTGGTCATAGTTGTAGTGGAAGAGTGCCAGGTACTATGCTGGCACTTTAATATTCTAATTCAATTGAGTCTCACAATGAACCCTGCGATACAGATATTATTGTTCTTGTCATTATTATTATACCCATTTCCCAAATTAGGCAACTATGGCCTAGAGCAGTCAAGGGACTTACCCAAAGACAAACAGTTAGTAAGTAATAAAGAACATATTTGAATATAGGTAATATTGGCTTCAGTCCAGTTAACTAAACTACCACCACATGGAACAGGGCAGAGGGCCTTCCAGGAGAAAGAAATGTCTTGAGCGAAGAGCTCATATTTGGGAAGGGCAAAATGAGTTTAAGGAGTGACTAAAGCCAGTTTGGCTAAAGAGTTAGGGGATAGGATCTGTGAGCATTCAGAGATGACAACCCTGCCCTGTTTTATTTTGTTTTGTTTTGTTGAGACAGGTTATCACTCTGTTGCCCTCAAGGAAGTGCAGTGGTGCTATTATGGCTCATTCCAACCGTGTCCTCTTAGGCTCAAGTGATCCTCCCAAGTCAGCCTCCCAAGTAGCTGAGACTCCAGATGCATGCCACCATTCCTGGCTCATTTTTTAAATTTTTTCTTGTAGAGACGGGGTCTTACTCTGTTGCCCTATCTGTTCTCAAACTCTGGTCTCGGTGAACTTTTTGCGCCTCCAAAAGTGCTGGGATTATAGGTTTCAGCAGCACGCCTGGCCTGACCACCCTGTTTTGAACTCTAGACTCCCATGCATCTCCCTGCTTCATCTTTCTGGTACTTTATGCCATTATCTAACACACTACATACTATTTTACCAGTTTATCACATTTATTTAGTCTCTCTTCACTAGATTGTAAGTACCTAGAAGTTCGGGATTATTCGGCTTTGTTCACTATTGTATCTTTGGTGACTAGAAGAATATCTGGCACGTTCCTATTGAGTATCTGTTAAATGAATGAATAGATAAGTTGAATCCAGATGACTGAAGGTTCCACAATAGTCTACGAGTCTTTTACCTCTTGGGGACCCTACATAATATGGGGAAGCCACCAATCAACCTTGATCATATCGATGCATATCAATGTGTCATGTGTCAGTGCACTCATTGCTGCCCTTTGGAGGAGGGGGTGCTGCAAGAATATAGTGGAGAAATAGAAAGACATTGAAAGGATTCTATGGTTTGAAATGCTTTGTTCTACTTGCATTACTTACTAGGAGTGGCTGCTGATGTGGACTGATTTTTAAGGGACTTCAGGAGGCATTGCAACAAATCTCATCCCAACTCTATTATGTACCTGAAGTTACATACTGTCGGATTTCACTTCCTGTTATTAATCACTGATTTTTCATTGAGATCCACTTTTTTGTTGTTAGTGCTAGTTCAGCATGCACTATACTAGCTAACAAGCAGCATGTTTCTGCTGTACCCAGGCTCTTGGGCCAGACTCTTGGGCCACCATTGTGTCCTGCCTCCATAGCTTGGACATATTTTACCTAAGCTTCAAAAATGGAAGCTTAGGTCAAATGGAGTAATAGTAGTACTGGCTTTGAAAAATGGAATAATAGGAGTACTTTCCTCAATGGACTGATGTGAGGATTAATCAGTTAATATATATATTTTTAATCTTAAAAGAGTATATGGTGCTTACTTTGGCAACACATATACTAAAATTGGAATGATACAGAGATTAGCATGGCCCCTGTGCAAGGATGACATGCAAATTTGTAAAGCATTCCATTTTTTTTAAAAAGCGTCTGACACATAGTAAGGTATATAGAGACTTCGGATTGCTGGAAAGAATTCTTGGAAAGGAAGGTGAAAAAGAAATAAAGGCAGATTTTATTTATCTAACAGTTTGGCCAGAATCCTATGGCTAAAGATACCTTAACTTTGCTGTTTTTAGATTCCACCATCACTACCCTGAAAGATTATTTTGGAGAGTGTTGTTGGGTTTGATCATGTGGCATTAAAAATGCCAGATGACCATATGTTCTCACTCATGTGGGAGCCAAGCTATGAGAACGCAAAGGCATAAGAATGATACAGTGGACTTTGGGGATTTGGGGAAAGGGTGGTGGGTGGCAAGGGATAAAAGACTACACATTGGATGCAGTTTGTACTGCTCAGGTGATGGGTGCACCAAAATCTCAGAAATCACCCCTGGAGAACTTCTTCATGTAACCTAACACCACCTGTTCCCCAAAAACCTATAAAAAAAAGTTCAAGGTACTTTGGAGAAACATACAAAAGAGTGCCAGATGACATCTAACGTCTGATGTATAAGATAGTAAGAACTGGACAGTATAGTTAAAATCCTGTCACCTGGAAATAGCATAGTGGTAGGGTGAAGGAATGAGGGAGAGAGAAAAGGGAAGAAAGAGGAAAGGAAAGAAAGGACAAAGTAAGGAAGGATTCTGAAGAATGATGTTGTAAGCATCACTTATTTTATATAGCAAAACAATTGAACAATCCCTTGGATTTTGCTATCAGGGACTTGACCTACTGAAGAATTTCTCGTTACCTTGATATTCTTAAACTTTTTTAAATGAGTGAACTTCAGTTGGAGCTTCTCGTAACAAGACAATTCTGATAAAATTGGAGTCCACACTTTATGGCAAATTAAGAAGCCCTCAAAATAGTAAGAATAATTCAAGATTGATGGTTTTCAATGAAGCTTGGTGTATTCTGTTAAGTAATTATGCTAAGGAAAGAGATAATTGAATGTTATTGTTCAACTCCAGATGGAGATATTACTTTATTTTTATTTTGTCTATATAGTCCACTGCTTCTGTCTACAAAGTATTTAAAGTGACTCACATGAAAATAGTAATAATAAAATATTGAAATACAAGAAGATGAGAACAAAGAGAAGGCAACTATAATAACGTTCAACCCTACTCCAGTTGGTCGAATCACTTTTCCACTGGGGTTTTATATTTGTTACTCTGGGTTTTTGAAAAACAAAAGGGCAGGGGAATCATGATCTGTTACATATTATTTCTCATTATAGAAAAGAAGGAGAATGTGTCTTCCACAGGGAAAATGAAAGCTGTTTGAACATAATTCTAAGAAGACATTTTCTATAGAAGACATTGGGTGATCTAATGCGTAATTCACGGCATTATTATAGTTAGTGTAGATTTGAGTTTCTTGTGGCCCTTTCTTACAGTGGCATTAAGTAAGGTTGAGACCCTAGTATTAAAATGCCAGAAAATGATTGGTAGCCTTCAGCAGGATATTCTTGAACTTCATTCAAGGATAGCATTAGACATCCTATAGAGGAAGATGGATGGTCTGGCCCTTTCAATGGTCTTCTCCAGAGATTGCCTCTCCCAGGAGGTGTGATAAAGAGCAGGGAGTTGGAGGTTTTATTTCCTGTCGGGGGCCTGAGGAGCTAGTACCACTGATTGTGGAAAAATCCACATATAAACATTACAGCCCTATGGGCACTTGTTGGATTTTCAGTTGTAAAAGTGAAGAATCCTGAGAGTCTTCTGGCCTGCCTGAAAGGTTGCCCACCTTCCAGAAACAGAAAACTCTTATAAATTATTATTGACTTAAAATTTAAATCCCCGAAGTGCTTAGATAAGATAAAAATCCATATTTCTTAACTATGATGGTTAAAAAGCAACTCTATCTCTCTGTGTCACATGAGTAGAAAATATGAGAAGAATGTTTTTATTTATTTATTATTATTATTATTTTTGAGACGGAGTTTTGTTCTTGTTGCCCAGGCTGGAGTGTAATGGTGCAATCTCAGCTCACCACAACCTCTGCCTCCCGGGTTCAAGCAGTTCTCCTACCTTAGCCTCCCAGGTAGCTGGGATTACAGGCACCTGCCACCATGCCTGGCTAATTTTTGTATTTTTAGTAGAGACAGCGTTTCTCCATGTTGGTCAGGTTGGTCTCAAACTCCCAACCTCAGTGGTCTGCCCACCTCAGCCTCCCAAAGTGCTGGGATTACAGGCGTGAGCCACCACGCCTGGCCACGAGGAGACTGTTTATATTGTTAGCTATTGTGTGCTTCACATTCATACAACTCCTGTTTATTGAGCTTCTACTGTGAGCCAGGTTAACTTTCTGGATGTGTCTCTGCATACAGTGTATTTTTATTTCCTTAAATTCTCTTTCTGGTCTTTGATGTGTTCATGTGTATGTTTTTATTTTATTAGATTTTTTTAATTATAAAAACTATAGGCACTTATTGTTTTAAGTTCAATTATTCATGGGTACGTAAAGATATATAAAAGTTAATAACCTTTTCCCTCTTTAATTTCCAAGGTTATTATCCAGTGTTATCAGTTTGATGTGGCTTCTTCCATACCTTTGTCTGTGCTCAGATAACTTTCTTCATTGTTCACTTCAGTGTATAATATGAGTGATTTTTTCAGTGGAGCCAAACTTATTTTTGCTGGCAAGCAGGAGAAATTTTCCCTTAATTATAATTGATTTTCTATAGTGTACTTGTTTGTTTGTTTGCTCTGTCTTGAGGGAAGGGAGGAGAAACATTGTTATTACTCTCCAGAATAACTTAGAAGCTGAAGACTCCACCTGTGAATGGGACTTTTCCTGTTCTGAACAGGACCAAACTTGACGGGTATGATAAGTATGTATTTTCGAATGATGTCATCTTCCATCTGATGTCAACTTTTGTGTACATAATGCAAGTTTAGATATGCTCATTAATTTTGAGACTGGCTCCAGTGTCACAATTTCAAATCTCGATACATCCTACACACCTTTCTCAAAAGCCAGTGCTCGAATATTCTTTCATTCAACTTTTATCAAACAGGGAAATCATCTGGTTTATAGTATTACTTCTTGTGCATTTAGTGAGCATACAGAATCCCAGAAACAGCATGACCCTAAAGTCACAAAAAAGAAACATTTTGAAAATTTGAATATAAGTGGATCCCCTGCTTACTGATGGAAGATATATTCCAAGGCCCCCTGTGGATGCCTGAAACTGTAGATAGTACCAAACCCTTTACAGTTGTCCCTCCATCAGTATCCATGGGGCATTTATTCTAAGACTTTTCTCAGGTAACAAAATCTGAGGATACTCAAGTCAGTGAGAGAAAATGGTGTACTATTTGCATATTACCTATGTACGTCCTCCTATACACTTTATGTCTTGGTTTCTTACAATACCTAATATAATGTAAATGCTATGTAACTAGTTATGCTCTGTTGTTTAGGGAATAAACACAAGGAAAAAGTTTGTTACCTGTTCAGTACGGGTGCATTATTTTTTTTTTCGAGTATTTTCAATCCACAGTGGGTTGATCCACAGATGTGGAACCCACGGTTACAGAAGGGCTACTACAGATACTATATTTTTTTCCTATATATACCTGTGTATGATAAAGTTTAATTTATAAATTAGGCACAGTAAGATATTAACAATAATAATTAATAATTAAATAATTGTAACTATATACTGTAATAAAAATGAATGTGATCTTTCTCTTTTTCAAAATATCTTTTTGGACCGTACCAAGGAATATGAAACCATGGAAAGCGAAACTGTGTGTAAAGGGGACTATTGTCCCCTATACATATAGTTATAACATCATGTTCATGCCTGTGATGATGCTTAAGGATGAGAAGTCTGAAACAGCATAGATAACTGTAAAAAAAATAGGACTGCTTTATGTGGAAATCTTAAATAGCAGTGGTATCTGAAACATTTCTAGACGCCCAAAAAATACCTGAAATGCTGTGTGCAGAGGGTCTCTTTCATATTTGAGTTATTGGGCATTTGCTCACAGAGAGTAAGAATATATTAAGGAACTTCAAGCCAACCTTTCGGCCTTCTCCCATTCCCTCTAGGCTGCTCCCACCCAAGAAAACCGAATACACACACGCGTGCGCACGCGCACACACACACACACCACACACTTGCCAAAATCTTAACTCTTAGACCTAAAGACCAGTAATTATAGATATGTGCCATATATCAGTTGGACATCACCACAAGGTGTGTCTAAGAAAGCCAACTTAAGTATTCCCATTTTACATATGGGAAAATAGGTGGAATATGGGAGAAACAGTAACATGGAGGAAATAGTTCCAAGGTATGCTGGCCATGTAGTAGTTAAATGAAAGTCGTTTCACTGCTAGGAAGCTGTATTTCTTGCTGGCCTCAATGAAACCATATAAGGATGACCATCCTTGTGTGGAAACTTAAAGTAACCTGAAGGAAGAGGCCGCAGCTTCATCGCTTCCAGTTGGTTAATCCCCTCTCTGTCAATCACCTGCGCACGAGCTGAATAGACTATAAATTCACATTTCTGGAGCCACATGGTCAAAATAGCACTTTATATTCAGTGTGAAATTCTTAAAATGAAACCCAGCTGGCAGATGGGAAGGACTGGGGTGGGGAGGAATATTGAGTGTGCAAGGGTTTCATCATCTTCCAGAGAGCTTTTTATGCTTTGTGCAGTTATAGGAATATTTTTAAACATCTATGATGCAGCACAAATGAATTTCTTAAATCTAAATGATGAGTCTAATTTATAATATTTCTTAAAAAGCATTAAGATAGTCATGCAAGCCATTGCCTATAAGGATAGAGCGATTTGCTTATTTAGGGAACTGTTTTCAATTCCTACATGAGTGTTAGTTAATAAATCGTGTCTTTTAGTGCTTTGAATAAGTCCATGGCTTAATAACATACTTTGTGAGACAGTGAAAGGAACAAGAAAGAGAATAGTTAGTTCAGTTCACTTCCACCTCCACCTC